AAGAAATGGCTTGTGGTCCTTTTAGTGATTTAAACTTATGTTTCTCATGCAGTTTATGAGCTTTGGGAGTGCTATGATAAAATATCAATACATGAGTGTGTGTGTGTGTGTGTGTGTGTGTGTGTGTGTGTGTGTGTGTGTGTGTGTGTGTGTGTGTGTGTGTGTGTGTGTGTGTGTTTGCCTCTGCAGCGTCAAGAAACTATAACTCTGATCAATACCATACTGGATGTTAATCCTCGTTCTTCAGCGCAACATGGAGCTAAGAGTAACGATGACATAGTCTGCGAGCTCGCCGAGCTGATTCTAGCCAAACTGCCCGGTACGCTGACCCCACATAGATTCACCTGCACATCGATCTCAGTTACTGCTGAGACTTTGCATTATTACACTCACTCTTTTTCCCCATGTTTTCATTGGTTTGTGTTGTCTTTTGTCTCTTTGTGAACTTGTCTTTCTTTTGGAGTGCAGAGCGACTGGACATGGATGAAGCAATTGGCACACTGTTTATCAAAGACACCAATGGGCACCTGAACTCCCTCACAACTGTTTTGGCCCAAGAAGCAGACCGATTCAACAACTTGCTTAAAGTTCTCAGGGTGATGTAAAAACCACAAACATTTAATTGGTGGAGATCATCTCATGACCACTTCAGGAGTTGTTTTCTTTGGATTGTTGTTTATTTACTTGATCTTAGAGAAACATTCAAATAGAAAAAAACCTGAACAATCGAAAATATGCGTTCTGTTTAGTTTCAGAAATAACATTTTTCGGAATCTGTCGTTACTGTGATGTGTTATTCTCACTTTCTTTTTCGTAGATGTCTCTTATCACTCTGCAAAAGGCAATAGCAGGTCTTGTTGTGATGTCAGAGGAAATGGACCGAATCTACACAAGCTTTCTGAACAACCAGGTCCCCACCCACTGGGCAAACTCTGCCTACCCTTCCCTCAAACCGCTGTCTTCTTGGGTCAGAGACTTGACTCTCAGAACGTCCTTTATCCAGGTTTGCATACAGATATTAACAAAAACACACACGTTTTCAAGTTCAGTCCAGAGGAATTATAGAAGTTTGTGTGAAATGTGTCTTTATAAAGCTAACATACATTGGATTAGAATAGAAGTCTTTTCTAGCTCAGGTCTGGGATATTCGCTGTGTTTTATTGGTTCGGGTGTGTGCATGTGTGCACGTGTGTGTGTCTGTGTGCATGCATATGTACGTTTGCATACATTTGATTTGTGTGTTATCTCATTAGTTTGGAAAACTGTAATAACACATGTACATTCTGAGTTCATCTTTCTGCCTCTCTGCACATCCTGGTTTAGTGTTTGGTCCATTTTCTCTGATTTAAGCTGCTCTTAAGTCTGGTCTGAACATGTATCGTACAGTCACTATAATTCACTTAAACAAGCACAAACAGGGTAAAGTCCTGTTAGTTTATACAGCAGTGGATAAACACTGAGTCACACTCCACATGCTGATTATCTTAGGAAACAAAATCCAATGTAAACTGATTCACTGGGTCACTTACAGCACAGGTGTTGAACTCCAGGCCTCGAGGGCCGGTGTCCTGCAGGTTTTAGATGTGTCCTTGATCCAACACAGCTGATTCAAATGGCTAAATTACCTCCTCAACATGTCTTGAAGTTCTCCAGATGCCTGCTAATGAACTAACTATTTGATTCAGGTGTGTTGACCCAGGGTGCGATCTAAAACCTGCAGGACACCGGCCCTCGAGGCCTGGAGTTCGACACCCCTGACTTACAGGATGCCTTTAATGCACTATATTGAATAAAAGAAGGAGATACTGCATAAACAAAGATATCGTTATTTAAAGATACTTATATTTTAATTGCATCTCTTCTTCTCTTTTCCTCTCTTGCAAGACTTGGATCACACGTGGTCAGCCCAAATCACTTTGGATCTCAGGGTTCTTCTTCCCTCAAGGCTTTCTTACTGGTAACACACTGAAACATGCTCTGTTTTTTAATAATGCCAACAGTAAAGCACAGTTTTAGAGCTGAGCTTGAGGATTACAATGATCACTCTGACTACTCTTTCAAGTATACAGTGTAAAAATAAATGAATGAAGTTTAAAAGAGAGCTATTAATTAAATTTGTGTTTATTGGTAGATTTTGCTAAACAGCACAGTGACTTATTTCAATGCTCTTGTGTCTTTGATGGCCTGTAGGAGTGTTGCAGAATCATGCCCGGTGTTACAGTTTGCCTATTGACGAGCTTAATTTCCGCTTCAGCGTGGTGCCGGCGTACAGGGATGAGGAAGCAGTCTGTGAGGCTCTACGCACTCTTCCCATTGGTGCAAAACTGAACATGGATGAGGAGGTACTGTAAGAGGAGCAGTACTCTTAGTTATGCTTTCAGTAGTGCTTTAAAAAAAGGGCACAAATATTCTTTTCTCCAGCCCTTCAAATATTAGCAGTACTTTAAGATGCTATTTTTCTGGCTAATAGCAGGAGAGCTAATGTGGAAGAGCAGATCAACAATCTCAAGATGCAATCTAAAATATTACATCAGTTTGGTTTCTCTACAGTTAAAGTTTGTTGCTCCTTATATTTGTTCAACTTAACTTACTTAACTGCAGTTAATGTTTTTATGTGCAATATTTTATTCAAAATTCTTCTTACATTTTTACACAAAATCAGTTATGTTATCAATTGTGTTTGTGTTTGCATGATTTCAGTTAGAGTCCTTGGAAGCAAAACAAACCTAGCAGGCTGAAGATAAATCCTTTAATCATTAATATGACCACTAGCTTGTTTTGTTTTTGGGCAAGCATTTGAAATGGTCAATGTAAAATGTGAATTAGATATAAATACATATATCAAATAGGTCAAATCATGACCCATTTGATATATGTATTTAATTCTTGTATTAATTGATTAATGTTTTTGTGAAATTACTTTATCCTGAATCTCTAAATCTGATCTGGTGATCTCAAAGTTAGCACCACAGAGCAAATATGATCAAATTAAATCCATTATTATCCATTATTTTTGATTGGACTACATACTGGTTTCTTTAGTAAGGTTGTGTTATACTTGACTCCGGTGTGAATCTGGAGGGCAGTACAGCCTCCAGTATTGTTTTCTTTTTTAAAATACTGAGTTTATTTCCTGATGACATATCAGATTGATGCCCTCTTAAGCGTCATAAATAGTGAATATCAACCGCAGCAAACATCGTGTCAACTCTTCTTTAAATCTCTGTTCATGAAAATGAAATCCTTAAAGAATAAAAAGCTCTCGATACATCTGATAAAAGCAAAGCCACATGTTCTTTGTTTTATTTTCTGGCTTTGCAAGTCTTGTGTTTACTTTGTTTCAAGAGTTTGTCAGTAAAAAGTTAAAGTAAAATAAAAAGGTAATTCCTTTAATATGGTTACTTGTTAAAACAGTTACCAGAGCCGCAGGATGGTGTACTTGTTCACGGTATGTTCATGGATGCCTGTCGCTGGGATGATGTCGGCATGGTGATGGATGATGCGCTGCCTCGGGTTATGAACGCCATGCTGCCGGTGGTGCACTTTGAGCCACAGCAGAACTACGTCCCAGAGCCTGACCTCTACCACGCTCCTCTGTACAAGACCTCAGCCAGAGCTGGCACTCTGTCCACCACAGGTACACACCTGATGTATCCAAAGTCACTCACTGGAAACCTTTTTACATTTAAAGTCATGACACATTTTATACTATCATAAGGCCAAGAGCTAGTTTTTGGGCATCGCTGGGAGTTTTGGTGGGATACAGCGCACGCCCCTGTTACCAACATACAATGTCAAAAAAAGAAAGAAAAGGATGTTTGCTCAGATTGTTTCCTCACCCTTCATGTCTCTCTCCCTTCAGGTCACTCAACTAATTTTGTGGTGACAGTAATGCTTCCCTCCAAGCGACCCAGCGACTACTGGATATCCAAAGCCTCCGCACTCCTGTGCCAGTTGAATGATTAAATATTTATTCGAGGACAAAGCATTGAATTAAATTAAACTTGTGTAATAGCAACACAGACCGTAATTAAAATTTCACCCCAAACTGATGTTTCTGCGTCCTTCATCTCATACATGTGTTTGACTACATTTATTTATATAACAAACTCTTTAGAAAGGAGACGTCCCAGTTTCACAGTGGAAGCACTACACTGCCTTACACTGCTTCATTTCATCTGCAAGTTAACAAGTCACAAGAAGCAGAGGTAGCCATCACCATCCAAGGCAGCACACGGTGAACAAGAGAGGCAAGGTGGAGTGGGTGGAGACGAGTGACAGAAGGATAACTGTAAAAGTGAAAGGAATTTTTTTTTTAAGTTGATGACTTCGTGAAAACAAGAAAAGAAATGTTTTAGAAAAACTAAGAATTCTATTTTTTTTATTTTTTTTTATTTTATTTAGGCATTTATTAGACAAATAAGACTAATACACCCAAATTTGAAGCAGGAAACTGGACTTCTCAGAGATTAGTCAAATATAATCAACAATTCTCTGGTGTCCTGGATTGTTGATTACCTGACAGGAAGACCACAATATGTGTGACCACAGTCTGACAAGGTAATCATCAACACAGGGGCACCACAAGGGACTGTCCTCTCCCTCTTCACCCTTAACACCACAGACTTCAGCCACTGCACAGAGACCTGCCATCTTCAGAAGTTTTCTGTTGACTCTGCGGTGGTTGGATGCTTTATGATTATTCATAAAATATTAACAAAAAGACCTAAAAACTGTGAGAATCTGAATTTTAGCAAACAATATACAATTATTTATACCTATATTTCAACTTTTCCGAGTCAGGAGTCACAAAGTGACGCACAAAGTTAACAAGTTCATAACATTTAAACTGTATATTTCTGTCAATACATAATTCAGTCAAAACTGAAGCCATGCACGTGATGTGTAGAAGGATTCCTCTCAAAAATTAATTCAAACTGCGTGGGCCCTCCTCGTTTTCTGACTCCTCCTTAGCCTTTATCATTTTCTACCATTCTGTGGAAACGACCAGTAGAAAAGATGAAGTTAGTCTGGCTCATCTGCGCAGTGGCTGCTGGTAAGATTTAAACAAATACATTTCTACAAAATCATATCAAAAAAAGAAGCTGAGTGTGGGGAAAGAGTTGTCTTTTCAATTTGACTGTTTGAAGGCGTAATTCAGCATTTGGAGAAATGTCTTTACTGATTTTCTTTTTAAGAGTTGGATTAAAAGATTGAGAGGAATCTCATGTCTGTTTTTAAAGTAGAAAGATCCAGTCAGTGTGCATCTGGCATGATTTAATGCAAAAGAGAAAACGGCCGACTGTAACTGTGTCAGTTTAAAGTTCAGACCTGTGCACAAACAAAGCTTTTGTGTGGGTGATACATGCTAAAATCAACAACAGAGAGAAATGTTAGGAATACTATGGGCTTTATTTTTTTAACCATCTTATATCATGTTGTGGAAAATGTGTCACACTTTATCCTCCGATCCTCTGGATGCTCAAATTAGAACACAGTATTTGTAGTATGTTTTTGTCACGAGCTTCTTTGTATGTAGACAAAAGTTCGTGAGAAGCCAATACACTTAATCAGATGTGTATTGTGTATCAGGACCCCCTCTCGCCACATCGTCCCAATTTTGATTTACGGCCTCAGTCGAACCGTTTCTGTAACTTTCTAAAACCGATGATCTCAAATTCAGTGTGTTACCATTGCCAACCAAACGTTTTACACACATTACTGAAGCACTTGGAACACAGGAACACCTATGCACGGCTCCTCTTTGTAGACTACAGCTCGGCTTTTAATACCATCCGGCCATATAAACTCCGTCCCAAACTCCACCAACTGGGACTTAACTCTTCTCTGTGCAACTGGATTGTGGACTTCCTCACTAACCGTAGACAGAGTGTCAGAGTGGGTAAGAACACCTCTTCCACCCTTGTGGTCAACACCGGTGCCCCTCAGGGGTGTGTTCTGAGCCCTCTGCTATACACTCTCTTCACCCATGACTGTATTTCCTCCTGCGCGTCCAATCTCATTGTTAAGTTTGCAGATGACACTACAGTGCTCGGACTTATATCCAACAATGATGAGACAAACTATAGGACAGAGGTGCAACAACTAGAGTCATGGTGCCACGACAATAACTTGGTCTTAAACACCAAAAAGACCAAGGAGATCATTGTAGATTTCCGGAAGAGGGGTCATAACAACCATCTGCCTCTCTTCATTGGCAGTGAGGCGGTGGAGAGGGTGAGCAGTTTTAAATTCTTGGGGGTAACTGTGACCGAGGACCTGTCCTGGGGCAACCATATCACCTCAGTTGTACGGAAGGCCCAACAGCGCCTCTACTACCTGAGGAGACTGCGGAGCGCACACATTCCCAGATCTCTGATGTTGAACTTCTACAACTGTGCCATCAGCAGCGTTCTGACGTATGGATTTCTAGTGTGGTTCCCCAGCTGCACCAAGGCCGATCAGCAAGCACTCCAGCGGGTGGTGAAAGAAGCTGGCAGAATTATTGGAACAAGTCTGCCAGAGATCAGCAATATCTTCCCCACTCGCTGTCTGAGGAGGGTGCACAGTATCCTGCGGGACCAACATCACCCTGCGCGCCACCTTTTCCATCTGCTGCCCTCAGGGAGAAGGTACAGGTCTATACAGGCCAGAACATCCAGACTGGCCAAAAGCCTGTATCCACAGGCTGTGAGGCTCCTGAACTCTCTGCCCCCCTCTCACGGACAATAACCATATCCAACTTCTTAATAGCAATGAACTGGTCTGCATTGGTGCATCATATCTTTATTCTCTTCCCCCTCCTGCCCCCCCCCCCCCCTCTTTCTTAAATAGATAACTATCATATCTGATATCATATCTCACAGTACAATAATATTGAATGGGTTGCATTGTTGTATTTTGTCATGTTTCTCAGGTCTTTGTCTGAATTTCTACGAACATTATTGCTAAAGATTGTCTTATTGCATTGGAGTCACACTGGGTTAAATATGTACACTTGGGTTTTAAGGGGTATTTATTATTTTCTTCTTTTTTTTTGGGTTGTATGGAAGCCCCAAACGCAATTTCATTGTTCTTGACAATGACAATAAATAAATAAATACTAAATACTAAATGAAATCATGATTTTTTTTTTTTATGACGTATTGCAGCCACCTCCGTATGTCTGGCTTTCAACATTGATACGACAGCCACCCGCATCTTTACTACAGAACAAAAAGATTTCTTCCAAAACAAGGTGCTTCAGTTACTGTCTGACAAGAACAATGGGTGAGTATCAAAGCTAATCTAAAGATGCAAAGTATCAAAATATTAAATCATATCTGCATCATTAATGTGGTGTACAGCTTTTCTGTGCAAATCAGTGCATGTTTTTTGTTGTTGTCTTATTTCTGTCTGATCAGATCTCACTAAGGCACAATAGAACTTTTTATTTAACGTTTCTCATAGAGGATGGGGACAGGAAATGGACTGGAAAGAAAGTAGGGGAAAAATTTAGCTGGGATTTGATGATCAGAGCACGTTTGATGTCCCAAAAGTGCAAAGATAAAATGAAAGGTCATGTAACTCTAGTTGCTGTCTTAAACTTGGGTAAAAGTAAAGATTACCTTTGTCCTGATCGAGGGAAAAATAAATAACGCCCACACAGCACATTTACTTTCATTGACCCCGAGAGTATTCGTGGTTGTTGTCAATGTGGTCCAGGGGCGTTTTCAGAGACGGTGCCTGTATTGTTGCTACTGCCCAAGTAATTGAATTCAAATTCAACTGAAAGGTTAAAGTGACATACAGTGGCTTGCAAAAGTATTCGACCCCTTTGAACTTTCCCACATTTTGTCACATTACAGCCACAAACATGAATCAATTTTATTGGAATTCCACGTGAAAGACCAACACAAAGTGGTGCACACGTGAGAAGTGGAACGAAAATCATACATGATTCCAAACATTTTTTACAAATAAATAACTGAAATGTGGGGTGTGAGTAATTATTCAGCCCCCTTTGGTCTGAGTGCAGTCAGTTGCCCATAGACATTGCCTGATGAGTGCTAATGACTAAATAGAGTGCACCTGTGTGTAATCTAATGTCAGTACAAATACAGCTGCTCTGTGACGGCCTCAGAGGTTGTCTAAGAGAATATTGGGAGCAACAACACCATGAAGTCCAAAGAACACACCAGACAGGTCAGGGATAAAGTTATCGAGAAATCTAAAGCAGGCTTAGGCTACAAAAAGATTTCCCAAGCCTTGAACATCCCACAGAGCACTGTTCAAGCGATCATTCAGAAATGGAAGGAGTATGGCACAACTGTAAACCTACAAAGACAAGGCCATCCACCTAAACTCACAGGCCGAACAAGGAGAGCGCTGATCAGAAATGCCCAAGAGGCCCATGGTGGCTCTGGACGAGCTGCAGAGATCTACAGCTCAGGTGGGGGAATCTGTCCACAGGACAACTATTAGTGGTGCACTGCACAAAGTTGGCCTTTATGGAAGAGTGGCAAGAAGACAGCCATTGTTAACAGAAAACCATAAGAAGTCCTGTTTGCAGTTTGCCACAAGCCATGTGGGGGACACAGCAAACATGTGGAAGAAGCTGCTCTGGTCAGATGAGACCAAAATGGAACTTTTTGGCCAAAATGCAAAACGCTATGTGTGGAAACTAACACTGCACATCACTCTGAACACACCATCCCCACTGTCAAATATGGTGGTGGCAGCATCATGCTCTGGGGGTGCTTCTCTTCAGCAGGGACAGGGAAGCTGGTCAGAGTTGATGGGAAGATGGATGGAGTCAAATACAGGGCAGTCTTGGAAGAAAACCTCTTGGAGTCTGCAAAAGACTTGAGACTGGGGCGGAGGTTCCCCTTCCAGCAGGACAACGACCCTAAACATAAAGCCAGCGCAACAATGGAGTGGTTTAAAACCAAACATATCCATGTGTTAGAATGGCCCAGTCAAAGTCCAGATCTAAATCCAATCGAGAATCTGTGGCAAGATCTGAAAACTGCTGTTCACAAACACTGCCCATCTAATCTGACTGAGCTGGAGCTGTTTTGCAAAGAAGAATGGGCAAAGATTTCAGTCTGTAGATGTGCAAAGCTGGTAGAGACAGACCCTAAAAGACTGGCAGCTGTAATTGCAGCTGCGAGGTGGTTCTACAAAGTATTGACTCAGGGGGCTGAATAATTACACAGTTATTTATTTGTAAAAAATGTTTGGAATCATGTCTGATTTTCGTTCCACTTCTCACGTGTACATCACTTTGTGTTGGTCTTTCACGTGGAATTCCAATAACATTGATTCATGTTTGTGGCTGTAATGTGACAAAATGTGGGAAAGGTCAAGGGGGCTGAATACTTTTGCAAGCCACTGTAGAAATTCTGAGAGCACAGGTCAGAAAAACTCTCTTTTTAGTGATTATCACGAGTGTTGTTGTGTCCACAGGATACTTGTCACTGCACCAGAGCAGCTAGGACATGAGGAGACATGCACATCTGATCTGAACCTGACCCACAACTGCATCATTGTTCCAGGTACATTAATGCGGTTTTTGAAATGCAAATGACATGTTTAATCAGGACATTAAAAATTATTGCCACAGTATGGAGGTTATATATGAAACAAAGCTGTTTTGAAACCATTACTAAACTGGATTTGTAAGAGTTAGCTCACTCAAACCGAATGAGCACCTACTCTGCAGCTGCTGCAGTTTCCAGAGTCACATTCAAGATTTTATTTTAAATTCAGCTTTGTTTTTTGTTTTTCTTTCATATTGCACCAAATCACAATAACAGTTGTCTTACTGCACTTTATATTGTAAGGTAAAGACTCTACAATACTACACAGAAAACAGAGAAACTCCAACAGTCATATGACCCCTTTGACCTAACTAATGATTTAATGCAAATAGGTGTATAAATACATATCAGTGAGTGAAAAAGAAACACTCAGTGCATCATGGGAATCCCCCCCAGCAGCCTAGACCTATTACAGTGTAACTAAAAGAGGATTCAGGGTCACCTGATCCAGTCCTAACTATATGCTTTTTTTAAAAAAAGGAAAGTTTTAAGCCTAATCTTAAAAGTAGAGCTAGTGCCTCCAAATCCAAACTGGAAGCTGGTTCCACAGAAGAGGGGCCTGAAAACTGAAGGCTCTGCCTCCCATTCTACATTTAAATACTCTAGGAACAACAAGTAAACCCGCAGTCTGAGAGCAAAGTGTGTCGGGTCACAAATTTGGAACCCAATATGATAACCTTATCCCACTAACGCTGTGGAGGTCCAGCGTTTCAGATCCAATTAAAATCAAATCACTAATAAAGGTCCTCTGGAAATGAGTGGAATTCTTTGAACAGAGTTTATTAAACAGTGATGAACAGCAGAACAGTACATTTACAGCAAAAATAAAACATAGAGAGCAAGCAAAACAAATGATAGTGCCTTAAAACACAAACAGAAACAACACACAAAAGACAGACAGGAAAGAAGCACCAGCGGGGGATAATGACCCTCCTCCTCCTCCTGCAGGTACCCTTTCATCCTTCATTCTTTCTTTTCATCTGCCACTTCTGATACATACGACCCTACACCATAACTTCTCACACACCAGTCTTTCATCCGTCATTGAATTTGTGAGTTTTATGGCCAAAGTCCAAAAGTCTGCAGAAAGGCAGTTAACAGTTAATCAGTTCAACAATTATGTTGGGTGTGCAAGCCAGACATAAACTGCTATCTATGCTGAGTAAGGATTTTTTGCTTCGCCGCCTGGCGTTTGAGGCAAGAACCAGAATCTCAGGTACATGTCCAACGAGGACCAGGTTTGTTTGCTGTATAGCCATTTAAACGGCTGCATGCTTTTAATGTACAGCCATGGAAAGGGAATACACATTTTATATACACATATATGTATAGGTCTGAATCCGCTCAGTGAGATCTTTAACAAGACTGGCTACGGAATGGAACAGTTGTCAGCCACCTCCTGTACATGGATGACATCAAGCTGAAACTCAGTGTGGAGAAGTCTGAAGGGATTGAATGCACAAACTCTTAAGACTTTATTTTGCCCATGTTTAATATTAGCAACTACAGTTCTAACAGGATATATGGCAGAAAGTAAGGAGACGTATAATAGGTTTATTGTAGGGTCTACCTTACAATATAAAGCACCTTGAGGTAACTGTTGTTGTGATTTTGCACTGTATAAATAAAATTGAATTCAATTGAATTATAATAGGTACCCTTTAAAGGGACAGATTTAGGATGTATAGCCTGTCCAAAAAGCTAATCTTGGTATTTTTATTAGTCATAGCAGAATAAATTCTCATACTTTTACTGTTTTACTGTCATATCAGTAGTGCTGTTAATTATCGGCACAATTTAGACATCACAATGTCTATGAAGACCATGTGAAACTGCAAACTGCAAGAAACATCATCTAGATCACGGCAAAGACTACAGTTCACCTGGTCTGGTCCACTTAAGATTAAAGTGGGCTGTATGTGTCCCACAATGTAAAATGAATTTTAATTCCCAGAGCGAGACAGGGTTTTTTTCTATTGCAGAATGATGTAGTGTATTTGTATTTTTAATATAAGGTACTAATCTGATGTTATTGTCACAGAAATTTGGCCCGAACACATGCAAGTACCCATCAGGCAATTTGGACTGTCGATATCTGAGGATGCCATGCGCTCTCAAATCACTGTAAGAAAAACTCAAAAAACATTTCCTCTGACAATATTCAAAACAAAAAAATGATCTCAGATCATACTTCTTTGTCTCGTTTAAAACCTGATGTAGGTTTGCAGCCCACGTGCAGTGCATCCACACAGTGGGAACTCGTCTCTGAACAAAGTGTGTTACAAGATGAAACTCGACCGTGGACCGTCCACCCAAGGTAAAAAAAATATTGGGGACGGCGGGTTCTAGCGGTAAAGGCACTGTCTGTGTCCAGCAGACCGTAGTGGTCAACAAAATGTTTGAACTTGACAACTATGAAGCTTCAAGTGTCTCACCAACACACACAGAGCACTCTGATTGATTCTAGTTCAGTTACATTAGAAACAGTGGCTGAGTACAACTGTGAGATCATAATTATTGCATTTGTTAATTAAATAATGTTCATGCTTATACATGAATCTTTGTTTCATCAGACCAGAAAATCTAGTAGGACTGTTTGAGGTATATTTATGTCTGTTTCCATCTTCCAGGCTAAATATTTTCATGCTTTTCTCCCGCAGAACGAACAAATAGGTCTGTGGAAGTCGTTTTTTTATTTGATGGATCAGCGAGTATGAGCGAAGCTGAATTCAACAAAAATAAAGACTTCATTGTGGAGATAATGGGCAGCCTTAGGGACACGCCAGTAATGGTCATTATATATTGATGTATATAAACTATACATTATACAGTGGGGCAAAAAAGTATTTAGTCAGCCACCGATTGTGCAAGTTCCCCCACTTAAAATGATGACAGAGGTCAGTAATTTGCACCAGAGGTACACTTCAACTGTGAGAGACAGAATGTGAAAAAAAAATCCATGAATCCACATGGTAGGATTTGTAAAGAATTTATTCGTAAATCAGGGTGGAAAATAAGTATTTGGTCAATAACAAAAATACAACTCAATACTTTGTAACATAACCTTTGTTGGCAATAACAGAGGTCAAACGTTTACTATAGGTCTTTACCAGGTTTGCACACACAGTAGCTGGTATTTTGGCCCATTCCTCCATGCAGATCTTCTCGAGAGCAGTGATGTTTTGGGGCTGTCGCCGAGCAACACGGACTTTCAACTCCCGCCACAGATTTTCTATGGGGTTGAGGTCTGGAGACTGGCTAGGCCACTCCAGGACTTTCAAATGCTTCTTACGGAGCCACTCCTTTGTTGCCCGGGCGGTGTGTTTTGGATCATTGTCATGTTGGAAGACCCAGCCTCGTTTCATCTTCAAAGTTCTCACTGATGGAAGGAGGTTTTGGCTCAAAATCTCACGATACATGGCCCCATTCATTCTGTCCTTAACACGGATCAGTCGTCCTGTCCCCTTGGCAGAAAAACAGCCCCATAGCATGATGTTTCCACCCCCATGCTTCACAGTAGGTATGGTGTTCTTGGGATGCAACTCAGTATTCTTCATCCTCCAAACACGACGAGTTGAGTTTATACCAAAAAGTTCTACTTTGGTTTCATCTGACCACATGACATTCTCCCAATCCTCTGCTGTATCATCCATGTGCTCTCTGGCAAACTTCAGACGGGCCTGGACATGCACTGGCTTCAGCAGCGGAACACGTCTGGCACTGCGGGATTTGATTCCCTGCCGTTGTAGTGTGTTACTGATGGTGACCTTTGTTACTTTGGTCCCAGCTCTCTGCAGGTCATTCACCAGGTCCCCCGTGTGGTTCTGGGATCTTTGCTCACCGTTCTCATGATCATTTTGACCCCACGGGATGAGATCTTGCGTGGAGCCCCAGATCGAGGGAGATTATCAGTGGTCTTGTATGTCTTGCATTTTCTGATGATTGCTCCCACAGTTGATTTTTTCACACCAAGCTGCTTGCCTATTGTAGATTCACTCTTCCCAGTCTGGTGCAGGTCTACAATACTTTTCCTGGTGTCCTTCGAAAGCTCTTTGGTCTTGGCCATGGCGAAGTTTGGAGTCTGACTGTTTGAGGCTGTGGACAGGTGTCTTTTATACAGATGATGAGTTCAAACAGGTGCCATTCATACAGGTAACGAGTGGGGGACAGAAAAGCTTCTTACAGAAGACGTTACAGGTCTGTGAGAGCCAGAGATTTTCCTTGTTTGAGGTGACCAAATACTTATTTTCCACCCTAATTTACGAATAAATTCTTTACAAATCCTACCATGTGGATTCATGGATTTTTTTTTCACATTCTGTCTCTCACAGTTGAAGTGTACATCTGGTGCAAATTACTGACCTCTGTCATCATTTTAAGTGGGGGAACTTGCACAATCGGTGGCTGACTAAATACTTTTTTGCCCCACTGTATGAGTAATGAGTAATGAGTATAAGTAGTAACGTATATTTTTGTTGTTGTTTGTTCCGTTTCCAGTTTGCAGCAGTTCAGTTCTCCTCAACAGTCCACAAAGTGTTTGACTTCAACGACTATGCAGCTGGACGTGCTCTCGATAAACTTATGAAAGACAAACATTTAAAAAGTCTCACCAACACACACAGAGCCCTCAAGTTTGTGTTGTAAGTTGTGTTAAAAGCAGCAGGATCAATACAGCTGTGAGATAATGAGCACTGTATTTGTTCATTTATTCATATTTTTAAATGTTGTTTATTCTGAGTGTTGCTTTGCTTTTGCATTTGATTCAGAGATGAAATCTTTGACAACCCAGCTGCAGGCGCCTCTCCTGATGTTACCAAAGTTCTGATTCTAATCACAGACGGAGATCCCTCTGATATAGACAGGAATGGGATCATTAGAAGATACGATGATAAAAATATAATTCGTCTTGTCATTGGGGTAGGATGTGATGTGTTACACCAGTCCCAACAGAAAAATCAGATTTATCCGTTAGACAAGTAAATGTGATCATTTTGTGTCACATAAACACTCTTATAGTATTAGACTGTTTTATTCACTGTTATTTAGATGATACACAGTCATACTAAAGTAGAAATGCATGATGGTGTCAGTCTCAGCACAAACAGCTCAGCAGATTTCAGTTCTTAGTCCAGTTTTTATTTCCCATGCTGATGTCAGACTTTGAATTTCATGTTTTCAAGCAGTATTCTGATTTCAGGTCGGAGCTGCTACGCTGCATAAATTCAGGGCCATCGCTTCAGAGCCAAAACATAGAAATGCCTTCAAAATTGAGAACTATGATGGACTCACAGGAGTGCTGGAGAATTTACAGAAAAAGATATTTACTGTGGAAGGTGATGTTAAACTTTGTTCCCTGTTTTGATAAATACATTTACAAAAATCACTGTTATCTTCCTGGTGTGGACCAGTGGTGGTCACATGTATCTCTTTATTTATTTAGGCTGCACAGCTCCTCGGGCAGAATTCAGTGGATTCAGTGCTGTTTTCAAAAAGGTGAATATCTAACTTCAACTCAGCTCAGGTCAATTCAGTTTTATTTATATGGCAGCTAATCACAACAACAGTCACTTAATATTATAAAGTAACGACTTTAAAATAATAAAGAAAATCACATAATCTCCACACATTTGATGTCCAGATAAGTTATTGATCTATAATCCAGCAGCACTGATTTTATTTCTGTGAAGTAAAATCAAATTTTCACTGGTTTGTGGCAACCTGCTCTTTCGAGTGACAGTTCAGTAATTTTTTAAAGCGATAAAATAAAAAAAATAGCTTTAATTTTTATTTCTATACATCCTTCTATCAATTTTCTGAACTAGTGAGCACCATTTGTGGTTGTGGGGTCCTGGAGTGTATGCTGTCATGCTGCGTGAGACTTTTTGTGTAATTGAAACATTATGTGATCATCTCATTGGTGTAAATATTGATTCTAGCAGTGTGACATCAGGGTTTAGAAAGGCTGACGAAATTGAACAATTCTGAATAAGCGCTGAATGATTTGCCTTGAAATCATGTTCTCCACAGGATGCAGAGTAATCACTTTAATTATGCTCATTCATCTAAAGGGAGTTTTTCCTTCCCACTGTTGTCAAAGCGCTCGCTCACAGGGGTCATCTGATTGTTGGGGTTTTCTCTGTTTTATTGTAAGATCTTTACCTTACAGTATAAAGCACATTGAGGCAACTGTTGTTGTAATTTGGCACTTTATAAATAAAATACAATTGATTTGTATCTATGTAATATTCTAAAGTCAACATTTTAAGTTGTATCTTCTGTTATGATTACGCAGCACAGATGGATTTCCCGTAGATTTGAGCTATGCTCTGCATTTAGCTGTACTGTAACTGCTAAATATTTCCATTGTTGGACATTTAAGTTCAGTTATAATTTGTTTTAGGTTTGCAGCACAACTGCAGTCAGCAACTGTTCCGACAACTCCTACCTGAATATTGTCTGTCACCAGATCCCAAATCTTCAACAAACCTCTTCTTCTGTTGTTGAAGGTAAAACTGTTTTTTAAAGTTTTATATGTTCCTGGTTACATTCTCTTTAAAATTGTTCAAAATTTTCCCCCCAGAACGAACAAATAAGTCTGTGGAAGTCGTTTTTTTATTTGATGGATCAGCGAGTATGAGCGAAGCTGAATTCAACAAAAATAAAGACTTCATTGTGGAGATAATGGGCAGCCTTAGGGACACGCCAGTAATGGTCATTATATATTGATGTATATAAACTATACATTATATGAGTAATGAGTATAAGTAGTAACGTATATTTTTGTTGTTGTTTGTTCCGTTTCCAGTTTGCAGCAGTTCAGTTCTCCTCAACAGTCCACAAAGTGTTTGACTTCAACGACTATGCAGCTGGACGTGCTCTCGATAAACTTATGAAAGACAAACATTTAAAAACTCTCACCAACACACACAGAGCCCTCAAGTTTGTGTTGTAAGTTGTGTTAAAAGCAGCAGGATCAATACAGCTGTGAGATAATGAGCACTGTATTTGTTCATTTATTCATATTTTTAAATGTTGTTTATTCTGAGTGTTGCTTTGCTTTCGCATTTGTTTCAGAGATGAAATGTTTGACAACCCAGCTGCAGGCGCCTCTCCTGATGTTACCAAAGTTCTGATTCTAATCACAGACGGAGATCCCTCTGATATAGACAGGAATGGGATCATTAGAAGATACGATGATAAAAATATAATTCGTCTTGTCATTGTGGTAGGATGTGATGTGTTACACCAGTCCCAACAGAAAAATCAGATTTATCCGTTAGACAAGTAAATGTGATCATTTTGTGTCACATAAACACTCTTATAGTATTAGACTGTTTTATTCACTGTTATTTAGATGATACACAGTCATACTAAAGTAGAAATGCATCATGGTGTCAGTCTCAGCACAAACAGCTCAGCAGATTTCAGTTCTTAGTCCAGTTTTTATTTCCCATGCTGATGTCAGACTTTGAATTTCATGTTTTCAAGCAGTATTCTGATTTCAGGTCGGACATGCTACGCTGCATAAATTCAGGGCCATTGCTTCAGAGCCAAAACATAGAAATGCCTTCAAAATTGAGAACTATGATGGACTCACAGGAGTGCTGGAGAATTTACAGAAAAAGATATTTACTGTGGAAGGTGATGTTAAACTTTGTTCCCTGTTTTGATAAATACATTTACAGAAATCACTGTTATCTTCCTGGTGTGGACCAGTGGTGGTCACATGTATCTCTTTATTTATTTAGGCTGCACAGCTCCTCTGGCAGAATTCAGTGGATTCAGTGCTGTTTTCAAAAAGGTGATTTCAAAAGGTTAAAACTGCACACATTCAAAGTGTAAATTATTTACTCGTGACGAGATTAAAATTTCTCAGTCACGGCTAACCTGACATACACAGGTGCAGCTAAAGCGCAGATAATAAAGCACTGACTACTGCTAAACTTTACTTTTGCTTTCTAAAATTTTAAATTCTTATTGTTTGTAAAATAAAATCCGCACTGACAGACTTTTTGACACAAAGAGAAACACTGGAAATGTGCTAGAATTGTAAAATGTACTCTTCAGTCTTTCTGTTTGTAAAACAAGTTGTTTTAGAAATCAAGAACTTTAATTTGAACCTGTACCCGACAATCCACTAATATTGGATTTTGAATATCTCACCAGCTACAGTACAGCATATCACCAATAGATTCAGTGAATCAAGAGAAATCTGTACACAAGGGACAAGGCCAAAAATTAATATTGGATGTCTGTTATTTTCGGGGCCCCAGGCAGCAATGCATTAAGATGGTGAATAATTATTTCATGGAAATCAGATGAGCATGGGCTCAGGAACACTTCCAGAAATCACTGTCTGTGAACAGAGTTCACCATTCCATCCACAAACGCAGGTTAAAGCTCTCTCATACATATGTCTGTGAAGGTTCTCAGTCATCCAGGTCATCGTAGTCAAAGGAGCTTGCAAAGAAAAGCGTCTGGACTTCTTTAAGTTGCTTGAAGACGTTTCACCTCTCATCCGAGAAGCTTCTTCAGTTCTAAGGTCAAATGGTGGAGAGTCCCAGATTTAAACCCAGTGGGAGTTTCCCCCCACAGAGGGACAAAAGGACCCCTTGATGATCCTCTAATCACATGAGCCAAGGTGGGAAACTGGGCGTGGGTCCCAATCAGCCAGAGTTTCGGGTGAGTTCATTGTGAAACCTGGCCCCACCTTATCATGCGAATTCCTGAGGTCAGATGGCCCAGGATGTGAGTGGGCGTTAAGGCGTCTGGGAAGGGATCTCAAAACTGGATTATAGATGGCAGAGAGTTGGTGTCGTAAACCACCGCCTCTGTTCAAAGATGGTCGCTCACAGTGGACGTAGATGCTTCTTTCACTCCTCTTTCAAACCATCTGTCCTCTCTGTCCAAAATGTGAACATTGGCATCCTCGAAAGAGTGTCCTTTATCCTTAAGATGCAGATGGACTGCTGAGTCTTGTCCTGTGGAGGTGGCTCTTCTATGTTGTGCCATGTGCTTGTGAAGTGGCTGTTTGGTCTCTCCGATGTAGAGGTCTGAGCATTCCTCGCTGCACTGTACAGCAAACACCACATTGTTAAGTTTGTGTTTTGGCGTTTTGTCTTTCGGGTGAACCAGTTTTTGTCTGAGTGTGTTGCTGGGTCTGAAATGCACCGGGATGTCATGCTTGGAGAAAACTCTCCTGAGTTTCTCTGATACACCGGGTACATAGGGGATGACAACGTTGTTGTGTCTGTCCTTCTTATCCTCCCTCGCTGGTGTCTGGTCTTCTTTTCTGTGCCTCTTTGCTGACTTTAAGAACGCCCATTTAGGATAGCCGCACGTTTTGAGTGCTTCCTTTACATGTGTGTGTTCCTTCTTTTTCCCTTCAGGCTTAGAGGGAACATGTTCTGCCCGGTGGTGTAGGGTCCTGATTACTCCAAGTTTGTGTTCCAAAGGGTGATGGGAGTCAAAGAGGAGGTACTGGTCTGTGTGTGTGGGCTTCCAGTAAACTTCGATGTTGAGTTTGCCGTTCTCTTCAATGTGCACGGCGCAGTCCAGGAAAGGCAAACAGTTGTCCTTTGTGTCTTCCCTGGTGAACTTGATGTTTTTATCCACAGCGTTAATGTGCGCAGTGAAGGATTCCACTTCTTGTGTCTTGATTTTGACTCAGGTGTCGTCCACATATCTGTACCAGTGGCTGGGTTCCTTTCCACTTCCTCCATGTAAAGGTTGGCTACAATAGGTGACACGGGGGAGCCCTTGGCGCAGCCATGTTTTTGTCTGTAGAAGCCTTCATTGTATTTGAAATATGTGGTGGTAAGGCAGAGGTCTAACAGTGTGCAGATCTGATCGGCTGTGAAGTTGGTCCTGTCTTCTAAGGAGCTGTCTTCTTGTAGTCAACTACAAGAAGACAGCTCCTTAGAAGACAGGACCAACTTCACAGCCGATTCTGTTCAAAAATTTGATATCTTTCCTATATTCTCTTGTGAATAAAACAATGTGTAATGTAATGCAAATAACTGCAAAATTCTGTTGTTAATTACATTTTCCACAGCATCAGCATCAGCAACATGAGTTGCATCTCCACTGTAGTTATTGAAATACAGAAAAATCAGTATGCTGCTGTTTATTTTGGAGTGATCGGATGCATTTTATGTACAGCAAAGAAAACAAACCATAAAAGCTTTACTTTCCCCAAAAAATCCAAAATGTATATCAAACTCAAAATATGAAAACAGTTTGAAGAAACTCTAATAATACATTTTAAACTGTCCGTCAATACAACTACAGAATGTCGATTATTAATTAAAATAATAATTACAGTGGATCATTAAACCCATGAATGAGACTATAAATGCAATTTCTCTGCTTCAGATTATAACCAAGCGTAGCCTTAGTAGTGTGCTTTAAGTGATAGTGGAAAAACATCATTTTCCTACAGTTCCTATCACTTAATGTGAACGAGGCAGCTCAAAATCTCCTTTTTAGCTGAGCTTTGCTTTTTTGTAAGCGTTCTTATTTTAATTCATGACTGATTTGTGACATTACCTCATCACTGTTACTGGTATCTCAGTTCCTCTCTGTCTCTGTTCAGCCTGAACTGTAATCAGATGTTTCTGTGAGCAGGATAGCCTGATCGTGGGTTCTGTGGAATCGAACAGCTGGCGTAGTTTTCTCCATAGACCTCAAGAACGAATGCAGGGTTACCTGGGTAAACCCATTTCTTTTTTTTTATTATTACCTACTATCTATATGATACCTGCTACTTTAATAAGATTACTTTTCTATGACTTGAGATACCATAGTGTAGCACATATGAGATCCAGAGTGAACATTTAGCAGATTATTATTTGGCTGTTGCAGGAAATTCCATTTCCATCGGAAAGAAAAACGGTGTTCCTTTGTATTTCGTGGGTTTACCAGAGTTTGAGCAAACAGGACAGATCGTTTTCAGACACCACTGCATACACTGGACAGAAGTGCAGAAAATTCGTGGAGAACAGGTTGGTAACTGGAAATATCATGATTTTTAAAAATATTCAGATTTGAGCTAAAGCATGGAAATATTTGTGCCAAAACTTTTGTAAAAGTTTGGATTTTGTGTCATATTAAGAGGACAGCTCTTAATAACTGTACTACTTTGAAGCTGTGTCTTTGGGTTTGGTTTTGACTTTCTAAATCATCCTTTACACTCAAAACATTTTTAGATTGGTTCCTACTTCGGTGCTGAGCTGTGCTCATTAGATGTTGATTCAGATGGGAGCACTGACTTCCTGCTGGTAGGAGCTCCACAGTTTCATCTGCCTCAGGTGAAGAAAGAAGGCCGGGTCTACATCTACTCTGTGAGTGATGAGGTGAGCTATAATAAAAACTAAGATCCAGTGTGACACTGTGTGAGCTTTAAAGCTGATAAAATACATGCATGTGTTTTCATAGTCCATTATTAACATCCTCGTTTCCTATTAGACTGTACTGGAAAGTAACCAGGATGTGACGGGACCATCTATGGGTAGATTTGGCACCACCATATCCAGTCTTCCAGACCTGAATGGAGATGGACTCCGAGACGTAGCTGTCGGAGCTCCGCTTGAGGATGATAAGAGCGGGGCTGTGTATATCTACCATGGCAACAGGCAGAGAGGGATAGTCAGCACTTTCAGCCAGGTGACACCGACAATACTACTGTGCAAAGGTCTTGAGCCACATGTCATGTCTTTATATTCTGCTTTTAAAATGCTAAGTAGGTGTAGTGATTTCTTGCAAACATGTGCAAAATACATGGAAATACGATATAAGAGGCAAAAATAGAGTTTGTACAGTTATAACAAGCTTTGGACTGCCTCTATTCTTTTACACAGCCCGAACTCTCTTAGGCAGGTCATTTCTTTCTTGCAATTGGTAGTCTTCAGGATTAGTTCCTTAAAGGACATTCAAAGCTTCTCTTTGGATGTTGGCTGCCTTTTGTTCTCTATAAAGATGATCCCACACTGCTTCAGTAATGTTGAGGTCCAGGCTCTGGGGAAACCAGTTGATGACTGTTAGTGTTCCACTGTGTGCTTTTCTATAAAGGTATACTTTTACTGTGTTGGCAGCGTGTTTGAGATCATTGTGATGCTAAAAAAAAATGTAGCCATCGGCAATCAGGCGCTTTCCAGGTGGATCAAAATCTGACTGTACTCTTCCGTGTTCATAATTCTGTAAATTGTGACAAATCGTGAACCCGACTGGCCATTTAACGACAGCCCCGAACCATAACAGAGCCTCCACTGTGTTAGTTCAAAAGAAATTATCTTTTTTCTGTCCAACTCTGTTATCTTTGACATTTTTGAAGATTCCACTGAAAATATTGTGTGGAATTTCCTGCAACTCTAAAAAACAAATCAAACGACACGTGTCAAAAGAAATTGAATTAGAAGAACAATTTAGATAATTTCAGTCTTTGAGTTTTGTTTATGCTTTAATGATTCACAGGTCAGTGTTAGGTGGTTTTAAAAATGAAAAAAATGATCAGGTACAAGAACTGGACCGAAAATGAATTAAAAAGCAGCCAATGTTTTTTTTAAAAAAGCCTTTAAAAGACCTTTATTACTTACGTTATTATCAAAGATTCAGGAGGAAAATTATTTCTATAACCTTCAAATCTTATAAACCATCAGAGAACTGAGGCACAAACGATGGATCTGCACAACACTGTTGCCCCTCCATGCTTGCCTCTTGATTGTTTTAGTAATGCTGTAATATAACTTCAAAGATATGACAACCTGCCCAAAGAACTTTGTGTCCAACACTAGTTCAAATGGTGGGTTTAGAACATGTAGAATCTCTGTTTCTCTGTCAGACTCCACAACCTGCCAGCCTAAATGTATTCAAGTCAAAATATTGTAGAATAACGACTGAACGACGTGCAGAGCCTTTTCTCTTTTTTGTCTGTGCTTATGGAGTTGTGTTCGTACACTCTCAAAACCCTCTGTGCATTTGCATTGAAGTTTAATTATCTGCAGCATGATAATATTATCAGACTTACACTTATGAGAGCACACAGACATGTAATGTCATCTGAAAGAGGTATTTAGACTCGGCTCTAATATCTTCTTATTTCAGAGAATCATGGGAAAAAATATCGACCATGGGCTGAAATTCTTTGGAAGGGCCATCTTTGGGGAGCTCGGGGAGGATGGACTCCCGGGTGTTGTGGTTGAATCACGTGGTGCAGCTGTTGTATTCAGGTGAATATTATATGAACACTGCACCTATAAAAGAAGCTAAGCGACAGAAGAAGCGACAATCTATTTAAGTTCATTCGCTTCCTTTCAGATCCAAGCCGGTCTTCAACGTCTTGGCTCGTCTGTCTTTTCACCCTGAGAACCTTGACGCCCTGAGTCCAGATAAAAATGTAGCTTTGGTTAAAATAACGGCATGCTTTGAAAAGGTCGAAGCAACAAAGAGCAAAGCAGGTAAGTTTGTCGTGATGAGCGGACAAATGTGGAACATTTAAACTGTTTTTTAAAAATCCAGATTAATGTGTATTTATTTAATGTGACTTTTTTTCAGGGCCAGTGAGCTCAGCATTGAACATCACATACACACTTAATGTGACGAGTCAAGCAAGTCAAAGTATGTTCAGTCAGACCCTGAAGCTGAGAGATGAAAACACCTGCGTCAGCTACTCCATCAACAGAGCAGTAAGAATGCTGAACATCATCTGTTTATTTATTCACTCTCTGATGACTTTAACACATCGTTCAATCACCACTTTTCCTTAAAGCGCCAGTTTTGTGAGCTGTTTTAAGCCATAGCACGCACTATGGACATGTCACATAAGATTCTGAATTTAGCCGAGCCTCAAAGGGCTTGGTGCCATATAAAAGACATTTTACATGATTATTTTACACTTTACATTTACCTGACTGACTGCCCCTCACAAGCTTGGGGTTTAAACCATTGAGAAAAGGTGGGCGGGGATTTGCCTACAAGTCCTTTTCTTTTTCCACGCCCTTTAGGGTTTGCCACAGGAAATCATTTGACTGCAAGCTTTGGACATGCTTAATTAAAGGCATTATATATCGCCCTTAATATCAATAATCAGGTTTATTTATATTGTACCAAATCACAATCACCTCAATAAAGATCCTACAGAAAACACCAGCAATCATGCAGCTTCCTATGAGTTGGCACTCTGCAGCAGTGGAAAGCAACACTTCCCTTTCAACAGGAACAAACCTCAGGCACAACCAGTGGAGGGACAGCCATAGATCTCCTGTTACTGGTTGGGGGTGAGGGGAGGGAGACAGGACAAGCTGTGGAAAACAGACAGAGATTAATAATAACTAATGATTAAATGCAGAGTGCTGAAGAATGAAGAGGTGCTTGCGGAACAAAATCCCAGCAGCATAGTCCTAATGCAGCGTAACTAAGGGAGGATTCAGGGTCACCTGATCCAACCGTAACTATAAGCTAGGGGCAGGCAGACCCTGATCCTGTATCCAGAGACCAAAACACCACAGACAACAGCAGGATAATGTCGTCTTTTTAATTTAATTTAATTTAATTTTTAAAAAAATCAAACAAATGGGTATTAAAATGGGTAAATCTGCTCATTTAGCAGCAGTGTGTGTGAAATGTTAGGTGGATAAGATGAGGCGATTTGTAGCTACATTAAAAAAATGAAATTAAAAAAAATCCCAATGAATCTACCTGAATGATGCAAACGGAAGTGAAAAACTCATTTTCATCAGTATTAATGCTTAGTTTTTAAGGGTTACTCTAAGCAGTGGCAGTCCTAGCCAGGTGGCGGAGGGCTTTCACCTCAGAATCTCATCTCTGCTTTTCGCGGATGATGTGGTTCTGTTGGCTTCATCGGGTGAGGGCCTCCAGCTTGCGCTGGAACAGTTTGCAGCTGAGTGTGAAGCAGCGGGAATGAGGATCAGCACCTCCAAATCTGAGGCCATGGTTCTCAGCCACAAAAGGGTGGAGTGCCCACTCCGGGTCGGGGATGAGTTCCTGCCCCAAGTGGAGGAGTTCAAGTATCTCGGGGTCTTGTTCGCGAGTGATGGGAGAAGGGAGCCGGAGATCGACAGACGGATTGGTGCTGCGGCTGCAGTGATGCGGACGCTGCACCGGTCCGTCGTGATGAAAAGAGAGCTGAGTGTAAAAGCGAAGCTCTCAGTTTACCGGTCGATCTACGTCCCTACCCTCACCTATGGCCACGAGCTGTGGGTAGTGACCGAAAGAACAAGATCTCGGATACAAGCGGCGGAAATGAGCTTCCTCCGAAGGGTGGCTGGCCTCTCCCTTAGAGATAGGGTGAGAAGTTCGGCCATCCGGGAGGGGCTCAGAGTAGAGCCGCTGCTGCTCCACATCGAAAGGAGCCAGCTGAGGTGGTTCGGACATCTGACAAGGATGCCTCCTGGGTGAGGTGTTCCAGGCATGTCCCACCGGGAGGAGGCCCCGGGGCAGACCCAGGACACGCTGGAGCGATTATATCTCTTGGCTGGCCTGGGAACGCCTTGGTGTTCCCCCGGATAAGCTACTTGTGTCAAGCCAGCCTCCAATTCGAGACTTGCAGTCAAGCCAGCCTCCAGTTTGTTTTACGTCCCCTGTGTATTCAAAGTATTACGGGAATGGATGTGGAAACCGGATTTCAAAATAAAAGCCAACTTCGAGTGAATTAACAGATATGTTAAGAACATAATAACATATAATTTAGTTGTTTTTGGGGGTTTTTTTACAAACTCTAATGTTAGATCTATATGACACAGCCTTGTACCCTAATTGTGCCCTGTCACTATCAAGGCCATCTTATTTTGGATTTCAAAGTAAAAGCCCTGTGAATCTTCATTTTTGAACTACTCTTTCAATGACTTAATAATGCTCTTAAAAGCAAAAGTCGTATTTCCAAATACTATTTGAACATTATATCAACACTTTCCAACCACAGTCTTTTTCACAGTGATACCATATCAATATCAAGTCAGTCTGATTTTGCCTTTCATAGTAATGGCCCTTTGAAATTGCCGATATTTGACTTAATCTTCTAACGATTCAAAATGCTCTAAAATGAAAAATTCTTGTTTCCACAGGGTAAGTCCACTTTAGATCAACAGTATACAGACCCACAGTGATACCATATCAATATCAAGTCATTCTGATTATGCCTTCCAAAATAAATGCCCTTTCAAATTGAGCATATACGACCTACTTTTTTAACGATTTCAAAATGTTCTTAAACAGAATTTTGCGGTTTCCACAGGATAATTTCACTTTAGGTCAACAGTATACAACCTCACGATGTTACCATATCAATATCAAGTCATTCTGATTTTGCTTTCAAAAATAAAAGCATTTTCAAACTGCCCATATCTGACTTGCTCCTGGAACAATTTCAAAATGCTCTAAAATGGCAAATTCCTGTTTCCACAGGCTAATTCCACTCCAGATCAACAGTATACAGCCCCACAGTGATACCATATCAATATCAAGTCATTCTGATTTTGCCTTCCAAAGTAAAAGCCTTTTCAAATTGTCCATAATTGACCTACCTTTCAGTGATTTCAAAATGCTCTAAAATGGAAAATTCCTGTTTCCACAGGGTAATTCCACCTTAGATCAACAGTATACAGCCCCACAGTGATACCATATCAATATCAAGTCATTCTGATTATGCCTTCCAAAATAAAAGACTTTTCAAATTGTCCATAATTGACCTAACTTTCAGTGATTTCAAAATGCTCTAAAATGGAAATTTCCTGTTTCCACAGGGTAATTCCACTCCAGATCAACAGTATACAGCCCCACAGTGATACCATATCAATATCAAGTCATTCTGATGATGCCTTCCAAAATAATGGCCTGTTGAAAATGCCCATAATTTACCTAACTTTCAGTGATTTCAGAATGCTCTAAAAAGGAAGATTTCTGTTTCCACAGGGTAATTCCACTTTAGATCAACAGTATACAACCTCACAATGTTACCATGTCAATTTCAAGTCATTCCGATTTTGCTTTTCAAAATAAAAGCTTTTTCAATTTGCCCATATATGACTTACTCTTGGAGCGAATTCAAAATGCTCTAAGATGGAAAATTGCTGTTTCCACAGCATAATTCCACTTTAGATCAATAGTATCCAACCCCACAGTGATACCATATCAATATCAAATCAGTCTGATGTTGCCTTCCAAAATAAAAGACTTTTCAAATTGCCGATATATGACCTACTCTTTTAAAGAATTCAGAACGCTCTAAAAATGAAAATTGCTCTTTCCACAGGATGAATCCATGTTAGATCAAAAGTGTACAACCACACCATGGTACTATGTCAATTTCAAGTCATTCTGATTTTGCCTTCCAAAATAATGGCCTGTTGAAAATGCCCATAACTTACCTAACTTTCAGTGATTTCAGAATGCTCTAAAAAGGAAATTTTCTGTTTCCACAGAATAACTTCACTTTAAATCAACAGTATACAACCTCACGATGTTACCATGTCAATTTCAAGTCATTCTGATTTTGCTTTCCAAAAGAAAAGCCTTTTCAAATTGCCCATATACGACCTACTCTTTTAACGATTTCAAAATGCTCTTAAATGAAAAATTCATGTTTCAACAGGAGAATTCCACTTTAGATCAACAGTATACAACCCCACAGAGATACGATGTTAAGATCAAGTTACTCTGATTTTGCCTTCCAAAATAAAAGTATTTTCAAATTGCCCGTAAACGACCTACTCTTTTAACGATTTCAAAATGCTCTTAAATTGAAAGATGCTGTTTCCACAGGATAATTCCACTTTAGATCAACAGTATCCAACCCGACAGTAAAACCATGTAAATTTCATGTTGGTCTGATTTCGCCTTTCAAATTAATGGCCCGTCGAATTTGTCCATATGTGATATACTCTTTGCAAGAGTAAAAACTTGTACCTCTTGTGCAAGAGGTTCTTTTTGGGGGGGGGGGGGGGGGTTGCGATGCCATGATGCCACCCCCCACCATGATGCCGTCCTGGGCAACCGCCCATGTCGCCCGTATCAAAAACCGCTACTGACTCTAAGACTTATCAAATAACAGTGCTTGAGTTTGTTACCATCGTAGTATTTTTAGGCTTTGAAATACCGCGGTAAAGTGAGCCATCATTTGTGAGCCGCCTCCTATCCGCCGCATAAATTTCCTTGCGCTTTTACACCAGTCTTTACGGTAGCGCCTTTTCGCTTTATATCCCACACGCGCGCACACAAATTACAATGGAACAGCCCAATACAGTCAATACAATTATGGAAATTTCAGAAATTCATTAAAAATCATCCTGAGTAGTTGAGGTCCAACTTTCAACAGATTCCTTCTCTGGGACACCTACTGTACCTGTGTGCCAAGTTTCAGCCAGATTCACTGTAATATTCCACAGAAATTAATGGAAACTTCTATTCAACCTAATACAGTCAATACAATAGGATTATGTCAATTTTCAAAAATTCATTAAAAATCATCCTGAGTAGTTGAGGTCCAACTTTCAACACATCCCCCCTCTGGGACACCTGCTGTACCTGTGTGCCAAGTTCCATCCAGATTTACTGTAAAATTCCTCAGAAAATAAAGGAAACTTATATTCAATCTAATACAGCCAATACACTACAATTATGTCAATTTTCAAAAATTGATTAAAAATCATCCTGAGTAGTTGAGGTCCAACAACAACATAGACATCTATATTTGCTCAGAAACTCTACTTCATTGATAAGATGAATCCACTACAAATAGTCTTCTGAGAAAATATTTTAATTTTTTTCAATTTTTAAAAATATTTTCTTAAAGATTACCGCAAGGTTTAGAATGGAATATGTTTTACTTACTATACAGCGGGTGAGATGATGTAATTTAAAAGCAGACTAAAAAGCATTACATAGAGGACAACAAAACTGTGATGAACTAAAAGAGAGCCCTTTATTGTGGCTGATGGAAGAAACTTGAACATACAACAAGGCAAAAGCAATAGGTTACAATAACTGTAATTAATCCTGAAATAGAGCGTGACTAAAATACGACTGTTATTAATATTACTGTGACTATGTTAACACTACTACTGACCTGAACATGATGGCGACCAGCAGTATGAGATAAAATATGAAGGGGTACACCCAAGACTTGACCATAAGAAAGGAAAACAGACTCTTAAAACAGGAAACATGACGAATGTATACCTCACATTAACAAACAAGGGCGATTGGAATGAATTGTAATGGTAGGTGACACGAAACGATCTATTTAAACAAAGCAGTAAAGAATGAGCAACTATGAGCTGTCAGGGAAAATTAGAAGAACGTAACAAAGTATCGCCAAATTAAAAGTACTAACTAATAACAGCAAAAACAAGAATTACATACATTGATCAATAGTAATCTTAATCAACAAATACCAAAACTAATGCAAAAAGGGTTGGGTCACAAACCCAAACTGCGAGAATCACATTATTTTCTAAACTTAGTGTAATTTTTTAGAAAAGGTATTAAAATGAAAAAGAATGCAATACAAAATCTAAACGAACAAGCTCTATTTACATTTCTGAAATACATAACCTACATATGTACAGAAAAATCAGAATCGGAGAAGCTTTATTAATTTGACGGTGAAATTGAATAAAAGTTTCCTGTAATTTCTGTGGAATATTACAGTGAATCTGGCTGAAACTTGGCACACAGGTACAGTAGGTGTCCCGGAGAAGGGATCTGTTGAAAGTTGGACCTCAACTACTCAGGATGATTTTTAATGAATTTTTGAAAATTGACATAATTCTATTGTATTGACTGTATTAGATTGAATAAAAGTTTCCTGTAATTTCTGAGGAATATTACAGTGAATCTGGATGGAACTTGGCACACAGGTACAGTAGGTGTCCTAGAGGAGGGATGTGTTGAAAGTTGGACCTCAACTACTCAGGATGATTTTTAATGAATTTTTGAAAATTTCCATAATTGTAGTGTATTGGCTGTATTGCATTGAATACAAGTACCCTTTAATTTCTGAGGAATTTTACAGTAAATCTGGATGGAACTTGGCACACAGGTACAGTAGGTGTCCCAGAGGGGGGATGTGTTGAAAGTTGAACCTCAACTATTCAGGATGATTTTTAATGAATTTTTGAAATAAACATAATTGTAGTGCATTGACTGTATTGCACTGAATATGAGTTTACTGTGATTTCTGAGTAATATTACAGTAAATCTGGGTAAAACCTGGCCCAGAGGTAAAGTAGGTGTCCGAGAAGAGGATTGTGTTGAAAGCTTGGCATCAACTTTTAAGAATGATTTTTAATGAATTTTTGAATATGCAACCAGACTGTCACGATGGCTGTATTGGGCTGTTCCATTGTAATTTGTGTGTCTAGGCTTTCAATCAGGATATAAAGCGAAAAGGCGCTACCGTAAAGACTGGTGTAAAAGCGCAAGGAAATTTATGCGGCGGATAAGAGGCGGCTGGCTTGACCGCGGCTCACAAATGACGGCTCACTTTACCGCGGTTTTGAAACGATGATGACAACGACTTTGTTTCTTACAGAACTATGTGGATGACACATCAACACCTCTCAGGATCAGACTTAACTTCCTTCAACCTGACAGCGAGAGCGCGAGCGCCGTCCTGAGCGTGGACTCTGAAAGAGAGGCTGCCCTTGAGGTAAGTTCAGTCGCCCGTACAGTCTGTATTTACATGCTTATTGTATACAACCAAAGATACAGCTATAGTCATGTCCTATTATATTTACCAAGAGTATTTAGTAGGATTTAATATGAGGTTTGAAGCTTTTTTCTGACCTGCGGTTTAAGTTTGACCTGTTTTGTTTTTTCTTTTACTTTTTACAGATTCCCATTAAAAAATAATGCAGAAGAAGAAGTGAGAGCTGAACTGTTCAAGAACGTATTTCTGATTTTTAGCAAGTAAAAAACATGTTATTATCATGGAGTAATTAAAAGACTTATTGATGAAAACAATGAGAAATAACTTTGTCTTTAAATGTAAAACTTTTCAATTCGTTCTTTCCTAATTTTTAGTTATTTAATTTAGATTCAGTTTTGTTTTATTTACACCCCACATAATCACAGCAACAGTCACCTAAAGCCCATAAAGACTCTGCACAAAATAGAGATGAATGCAGAGAAAACCCCAACAATAAAAACTACCCCCCATTAACAAGCACATGGCAACAGTTGGAAGGAAAAGCTCTCCTTCAACAGGAAGAAGCCTCCAGCATAACCAGGCTCAGGGAGGGGCAGCCAGCTGCTGTGACCAGCTGTGGGTGAAGGAAGGAGGGAAGGACAAAAGACGTGCTGTGGAAGAGAGCCGGAGATTAATAATGACTCATAATTAAAAGCTGAGAGGTGTGTAAACACACAGAGAGTGAGGAAGAAACATCATGAGAAGCTAT